GCTCCCTGAAGACAGGGTCTGCACTATATTCCTCCATCTGTCAGACGACCTAGCACAACACCCGGCGCACAGTAGACTCGATAGATACTTCTTGTACAGATGAAGGAAGGACTAAAATCCACATTCCAGTCTTCCTGTTCCAAACTTCAAAGTTAGAAAGCAAACTCTGGTCCGACAGAAATGCTTCTCGACGAATAAGAGACATAGTTTTACAAATTCCCTGGCTTCTGACCTCATTTCAAAGCTTAGGCAAAGGCACTAGGCACATCTGGACAGATCCAAATACTCTTTGAAGCCCGACTTTTTAGTTTCCACAGGGAAAGGTAGTCTGTCATTCTCCTAGGCCAACACATGGTCACCAATGAGCTTAGGGGCACATGTCCCTGCCCACCAAGTCACAGATGCTGTGAGGAGGCCTTACAGGAAGGACACCTGTCACACAAAACACAGATAGCTCCTTTCTAGAAAGGAAAGGGGGTGAGTTGACAATAACTCAGGAATATTAATTTAAAAAAAATTTCAAAAACCATATTCTACATACAGAACCCACTGGAGCTTTCCTATCAGATTATTTACAAAGAAAGAACTCAGCACTATTGGAAATTCTTGATAGAGTGAAGTTTCACCTGGAAAGGCAGCTGCAAAACGCATTACAAAGACCTCCTCACCGGACTTCACGCTCTACGTTAGTCACCCTGTGTACTATTCTCACCTTAACAGCCACCAGAACAACCTTGACTAAACCCACCCTTCTCCCTATTTTATTCAGAGGAAAAGCCACAGACAGACTTTATGTTGGCCCACAAGGCGCTACCTGATGCGTCTGACATGATCTCTCTCCAATCTCATCTCCTAGGACATTTCTGATAATCCTTGAACATGTCAAGAGCAGCTCCAGCTGTACCCTGGGCCAAAAATGTCCTTTCCCAGAGAGCCCCAGGCTCCTCTCTGACCTCCTTCAAGCCTCTGCTTTGATGCCACCCTATTCCTGTGCCCTCCCACACCCAACTTCTTTGAAATTGCAACTCACCTCTCCATCCCTAACCCTGCTCTATGTTTTCCCCTCTAATATTTTCAACTTCTGCCATCCTTATTTAATTTTTTAAATGAATGATTTATCTTCCTCCAACGCATGGACCTCTCTAAGGACCAAGTGTTTTGCTGTTTTATTCACTGATGGCCTCACACAGTGCCTAGACACCCAGTAAATGCCGCTGAATGAACTAATGTATCCTAAGAACATCCTGTTTTTATCTGCATCCTCCCACAATCTCTGCATGCATTTGACATTTATCTTAAAACTGTATCTGTATTTGTAATTAATGTAGAGATCTTGTCATTAAAGGCTCTTTGGAAAGTAGAATTGACATTACCCATCCTTCTTTTCATAGTTCAATAGCCAAGCGGGATGGTTAGTGATACAGACCACGAAGAATTGGATATTTCTCTAAATAGTTTGACAGCCCAAAAATCCTACAGTAGGTATAGAATATCCATACTGTGGGGCTGGATTCAAAATTCTCATGGTTCCAAAATAACCAAAATAACATCAGAATAGCAGGTGGCATAGGATTGCACAAATGCCAAGTAATTTATCCTTAACTTTTCTTTTTAAAAGCTGATCAGATTTGCACCTGCTCTAATACCTCCGGTTGAGAGAAACCTCACTTGGAAGCAGAAAACCGCTGTTACTCAAAGCTGAGTCTGGCTGAGAGAGTAGAGTTTACATTCCATTGTCGGCCAGATCCTTACCCCATGGAATGTCTGAGAACAGGATTCAGGCCATGAAGAGGTCGGCAGTGCTTCGACCAAACACAACCTCAGGGAATTAAACCTTATACATCGACTTATACATTGTGTCACTTACACATCGTACCTTAGTTTTCAAAATCCCCTTCCCACTCACAGTGGCCCAGCTCAAGGCACCTGGGTGGATTCTCATTGGCTTACACACTCACTGCCCCCTCTGTGGTGAACAGCGGCCAGGGGAGATGTGTGATCCTGCAGACAACCGGTCTACCTCGATCTCTGTATGCACTTGGGAGAAGGGAAAGCATGGGGCCAAGACTCTGTTGTGCTTTGGGTGAAGGGTCCCACACTCGCAGAACCAGTTGATCACACAGAGGCCCTGCTCCATCTGAATCCTTCCATGCTGGAGGACTGTGGGTAAACAGACCTGCATCATCACAGCATCCACTGCCTTGAGCAGCCGCAGACTACAATAAGGTCAGAATTACCATGTAGAGCCCGCTTACAGGTACACAAGCATCAGCTCCACCCACCCCGGCCATTCGGACTCTGCAGCTCTGGGCCAGGGCTGGGGAATCTGCCCTTCAGGACACCTCGGGAGACGCACATGCAGGCCATGCTTGGAGCAACAATGTCTTGCAACCACCACAGAGTTCCTTCAAAGCCTCTCACTCAGTAAAGATGTGAAAAAAGACAAAACCCAAACCCCAGAACCACCTGAATTTGCCTTCACAACTTTTAATCCATGTACTCACAGAGACTGTCTCAGTTGCTGATCTTCTAGATTCTTAGGTCTCGGTAGGAAAAGCTTCAGGCAGGCTAATGTTATCTTAACCAAGAATGTGGGGGCTAATGAATTGAAAAAAAGAAAAATGATTCAGCAACCACATGGGCTGTGCGGAGCAAGGACCATTTCGTCCTCCAGGGGATTTCAGTGAAATCATGGGTGTCAGAACACAGAGTTATCAACTACACCCAGGTTAGAGAGTGAGAACAGCAAGAGGCGCCACGGGCCCTGGGCTCCCTCCAGCCGCTCCCAACATCTCCTTGGAATGGAGAGGCGGTTCACACAAGGTGACAGGGATGGCCCTCGAGCTGCTTGGCACAGGCCGGCCTCCACTTAACGAGTGCTCAGAATCACACTCAGCATGGAGAAATTCACCCTGACCCTGGACACTTGCCCCCTGGCATCCACTCACTTACATTTTTACTCAATTACTATTTCTAAGAACAGAGACAAAAAAAAAAAAAAAAAAAAATGCAGAGCCCCACTGCTTAGCAGTCTTCCGTGGAAGGTCTGAGAGGGGTCCGCAGAGTCTTCCCATGGGCCTGGAGGCTGGGTGGGTGGAGGAGCCCCGCACTGTCCAGGAATCTCCATGGAGCTTGCACCCTCCCTCCCTTCCACACCCTCAGAGACACTCCTGATTTTCCCAGACTCACTAAAGAGCAGGGTGGGTTTCCAGTGTGTTTTCACCAAAGAAAGAAGGAGGCTTGCAGCAATGAAATGATCGAAAATAACCCCAAGCGAGGAGTGTCTGAGAGGAAAAACCACACAGAGAACCAGGGTAGCCCTCTCAACTTGTTTACTATGGGAAGAAAAGATGAAAAGGAAATTAACCCAAAGTAGTCACTGAGACAATTATAAAAATTAATGGGGCAGGACTGCCAAGGAAAAGCAAAAGGAAGGCCAGAAAATCTGGGGGCTCTGTGGTCTGGTGGAGGGCGTCGAGGCCAGACCTGAATTCAGATTCTGGCTCTGCCCCTGCCTCTCTCCCCCCCGCGAGTGTGCTATGACCAAGGACAAGGTATTTCCCTCTCCAAGCCACAGCTTCCTGACACGTGGGGATGGTCGCCCTGGCCGTCCCCAACCTACCACCATGGGAGGACCAGGACGCTGTGTGTCTACGTGCCTCCTATGCCAGGGCAGAGGAGGGACTCAACAAATGCTTTCCTTCTCTTATTCCCTTCCCTTTTCTTTTCCAAAGAGCTAGTGGGAAAAACATCAGACAATTAAATCCTTGGTTTAGATAGTGAAATAAAATACAAATGTAGAGGTTGAAAACAAAATATATTCTGTCTCACAAAAGGGAAATTGAAAAGCATGGATTAAACCTTTTACTCTTTATTCACATGGCAGCTTCTAGCCACTTTCATACATGAAAATAAATGTATATTCTCAATAGAATCAGTTCTTTTTCGAGGAAACCCAGCTTAAACCACTGTAAATAAACTACTTCAATCCTTCATTCCTTGATTCCTAAGAAGCAAGGTTAGGCATGGTAAATTGCAGAGTAGGCTATACCAGTGAACCAGATTATCTACTAAGGTAATAAAAACATTTCTGTTGTCTGTATCTGGGACCCCTGCCCACACTTATTATCAGTATAATGTAAACCTTCTTGGGGTCTTAAAAATGTGAGTGAACCAATGCCAGAACTGTGAGTCTATTTCATTTCTTCCTGAACATGGATCAGGGACAACTGGGCCCCTGTGTTCTTAAATATCAGGATCACCTAAGTCCTATTCTTTGCTGTGACCTCACTGCTCAGCATACAGTAGGCTCTCAATAAAAGCTGATTGAATTGATTAGTGTTCCAAATCAGAAAGCACTGAGACCTCAGTGCTCCTCAGCCTGACATGCAGGGCTAGCTCCGAGGGGTTTGCACTTGTGCTGAGGGTCAGGGCTCAGTGGCAAGCTCCCAGGGCCAGTCAGCCAAGATTTGACCCATGACAACCCATTCCCATTCTCATGCAACCCAGGAATGACAATAGGAAGGTCACAAATAGTGGCAACTCTCCCACAGGCCTCCCTCCAGAACTTCAAAGGAAAGAAAAGCTCCTTCGTCCCCTTCAGGTCAATACAAGAAACATTAATTGAGCGACTACTGTATGCCAGGCATGAGAACAGAGATATAAAAAAAAAAGACACCCCAAAAGGACCCCTGATATTCTGGCCATATGGCTCAACCCTCCAGAGGGCATCATCCACGGGGGTTAGCAGATCCGGATTTCAGACCACTGTGTCACCACTAGAGCACAGATCTCATGTACCCACAACCCATTCTTGCACATACGGCCATCAAATCATTTATGGACTAAAAATTGGGCGCACCTTTGTGGCTGTTCAGCTACAAGGCTGCATGCCAGAATTCTCTCTGGCCTCTGACAAGTTCCCCCACAGGAGACAGACACTAAAGATGGACTTGATAACACTATGTCAAATGAGGTATAAAGCAGACAAGTGTACTCACCAAGGTACCCACAGAGCACCTGGGACTGTCTGGAGCACAAGCTGCCCACTGAGCCAGAGGGTGTTGTAACAACTGGGCAGACAGCTAGGAGTTTTAAAAAGCACAGTCATTAGCTATTTTACTGAGGCGATGCCTTGCACAGAGCTATACAAAGATTCAAAGTCGAAGCGGGCTCTCTGAATGTACTTATTCCCCCACACATATAAGGTCACCGCTACTCGGGGACCAAGGCTCTAGAAGGGATTCTGGATTCTATTCCCAGATCTACTGGCATCCCTTAACCACCAGTCAGGCTCCTGAGTTCCGTTTTCCCTTTAACACGCTCTAGCGTCCAAATCACAATGTACAGTTTATACATGGAAATGGTAAAATAAATACCGTGACTCATGTCAAAGATGAACAGGAAAGGCCTTGACCTCCTTTGACAAAAGACAGCCTATGCGTTATGAATAAAAATCAATGTTTCATTTGGTTGGCCTAGACTTCAGGTTCCCTAAATATAAGTGTATCTTGGTTTGGTGCTGCTCCGCTGCAGTTTAAAAATCTAGGGCTGCTCGGGATGGATTAAACATTCTCTTCCATGATAGTTATTACATCATGAAATTTTAAACTTTCATTTCTTTAAAGTAACAGCAACGACATCTTGTATACCACCCGCCATATTCTTATAAAAGAAAATATACCAAAAAATACCCTCAATGGAAGAGAAAACACTGCTAAGTGTTCTATCTGGGGTCGAATCAATGACAAATACAGGATTTTTGCGTAAGAAGACGTAGGTTGAAACCCCTGCCCTGTCACTGGTTTCCTGTGAATCTTTGAACAAGTGGCTGGATTCACCCAAGCCTCAGTTTCTATACATGAAGCATACATCATGCTACCCCTGAGGGTTTTAGAAGCTCACGAAGAGATGATATATTTAAGAGACTGGCAAATAAGAAGTGATCAAGGGACGTAATAATATTAGTTATATAACTTATTTGACAGATGAATCCCTGACTGACTTCCAGGCCTGGGGTGAAGATATTTCTTTCCTAGCTCCTCACGTGGATTTAACATCCATGTCCCTGCCATTCGTCTAGGGCATGTCTTCCAGAAGTAGCCTGTCACTCTGCAAACCGGACTTGAAAACTTCTTTTGACAAAAGACAAAAGGCCTTGTGGAGTCCTCTCCCCCCCCCTTTTTTTTTTTGGTCAGATTTGTGCCTTTTATCTCTCAATTTGAAAATGGACAAGGAAGCCTTTTTCCATCCCCTGTAACTTACCGTCTCCAACATTCAGCCCACTAACAAGCCCCCCGTGACATGCTTTCACGCTTCCGTGGGACACACCTCCCAGTCAGAACTCTGAGTCACTGGGATTATGGGGCACTGGAGGACCCGCAGAGGCATGGACGAGGAAGGTCCCCTCAGAGCTTTCTGCAACATACTGTTTTCATGTTGCCACCATATGCTGTTACCAGTTGCCATCTGCTCACATATGTTCTCACCAAGAAGCAACCATGTTGTTTATTTTTAGAGGCTCTCCACAGCCTTAACCCGGAGCAAATTCCCTCAAAGAACCAGTCAGCAAAGACAAGAAGCTACACTGGGTATAAACTGTTTGTCACAAGATTAGCAAGTCAAACAAAATCTTCTCATTCATATCTGACCTCTAACAAGAGATGCTGAAAGTTATCTTAAATAAAAATCTCCAAGAATGTAACCAGGGAAAGGCAGAATATGCAGAGGAAGTTGCTTGGTTAGCAATACTTTTTCTTCCAACTATGGCCCTGTGCGGGTTCTTGGGGGGATTTCACTCCTTTTCCTGGGAAACAGCACCTTCTTCAGGCCAGTGGATGTTGTGGTGCAGAGGAGGGACAGTTCTAGTAACAGAATCCAGATCCCTGAAATTGCTCCAGGTCACCCAGGTCAAAGGAAGTCTGGATGGGACCAGGGAGAGGTCACTACTGTCATTTGCAACTTCCAGCAAGCAGTCCTCAAGTATGCCCCTTTGGTTTACTTTTACTATGCCATAAAGCTGCAGTATTAAAATCCTTTCTTTCCTTTTTTGTTCTGTTTTGTTTGTTTGTTTTTAAGCAGGGTCAAAAAAGACAGGCACTCTGGTGCTGACCCAGGGCCCCAGAAGTAGAGACCATGAATTGGGTGGAGATATAAGTGATGCTTCCAGTGATCATTTAGGTCAAAGAAAGCAATGCTTAGTTTTTTCAAAAATCAATTTCAACAGTCTGTAGGAGTCAAGTGGCATAGGGGTAGGAATACACTTTTGTAGAGCAGTGAGGCTTTGGCAGATGTGAAATGCTTGATAAAATGTGAAAACCTATAAAAATCCAAGACAATTAGTTTTAGAGAAATAATCCTTTTTAGAAGTACCTGGGCATTCACTAACCGATCGTGGAGGACGACCACTCACATAAGTTGTAAGATAGAAATGGTCCTGGAATTAAAATTTTGCCTGGGTAACTTACAAAATTTCTAAAAGACTACAATATTAACCATAAAACTTCATTTTGCCTGGGATGACCCAGCTAAGAAATAAAGCAACAAAACAAAACAAAAATGCACAGTGTTTCCAGAGCGTCTTTCTGAACTCCTGCCTAAGAATCACCTGGCCTCCTCATCAAGGTGCAGGTTTCTGGGGCCCACCTGAAAACTACTGAATCATAATCTGGATGGAGGCTACAAGATGAAGATTTGGGAATCTGCATTTATAATAAGCACTACTGGTGATATAGGGAATTCTTTTGCATGGTAAAATTTGAGAAACTTTGGTATAGGCTTTTGTTTGGTATAGGCTACAGTTTCAAGAAGGCCTTTTATTAAGACAAAATCAGAGAGGGAGACAAACCATAAGAGACTCAGCTATAGGAAACAAACAGAGGGTAGCTGGAGGGGAGGTGGTGGGGGGATGGGGTAACAGGGTGATGGGCATGAAGGAGAGCACTTGATGGAATGAGCACTGGGTGTTATACGCTCCTGATGAATCACTGAACTCTACCCCAGAAACTAATAAGACACTATATGCTAATTAATCTAATTTAAGTAAAATGAAATAAAATTTTTTTTAAAAAGGCCTTTTACAAAATCTCACTTGGCCTCGAGACTATCCAACCAGGTGGATCGTTCTGAGTAAGTAGGGGTTTTGTGTAGTGTGAAAGTGTCTATATGATAAAGACTTTCTCCCTGCAGTGATATCACAAACATAATTAAATGCCATTACAAATGCTCCAGTAAACTCTGATTAGTCTCCTCCTCCATCCCTCCAAACCTTCCCTACAAACATTCCTCTCAGGATTGTAGCAGGTCCATCAGTGGGTACTATCATTTCCTCCTAACACAAACTCCAGGGAGTTTCTACTTTACTTAGAGAATTCCCAACAAATGTTACTGAGAAAGGGCAAGCTGCTGATCCCAAATATATAATGACTCGGGGTCAGTTTGGCTCAGGACCCTCTTTCTAGAATCTGGACACTAGTGCCAAAGAATTAATGAAATTAGACATGACTCTCTACACATAGTTTCATTGTTGATGGTGATATTTTGTGACCGTGGGCTTCCTCTGAAACACAGCTCTCTCCAAGACAAACTAGCACCAGTCACCTCATTGTATGGGGGAGAAAAAGCACAAGTTTAGTGGGTGAAACAGCATCAGTTCAGGATTTAGTTCATAGGTCTGACCAGTAACTTCCATTAACACACTTACCAAGCTAAGGCTTTCTACTATGAAGAGGTACAAATGAATGACTAAATTATTATTCAAATCAACATGATTTTTTAGCAGACATCTCTAAAGGTGAGGACAGGTGCTTCAGAACCCAAGGAGCTGGCCAAAATTCAGCTTTGGTTCTACTCAGCTACTTCTGGTTAAAGCCAGGAACTCTAGCCCGCTCCCACCTCTGTTCCTTTCTCATTAACATCCAGAGCCCCAAATGCCCAGGTATGAGCTGGATGTGGAAACATTTCCCCGCAGAAAGCCCAAACAGACCTCAGTTCCCTTACCAAATCACCTATCTTCTGGGGGGAAAAAAAAAAAAAAGTCCTCCATCTGTGATTTTTTTATTTCTCCTTCTAAAGTGGTATCTGAATAAGTCATCCATTCTTTTGGCTGCTTGGTCAGCCAGCAACTTACTTATAAGGGTTTATTATAAAGCAAGTAGCAACAACTTCAATGGTATTGTCATTAAGATATCAAAGCAGAAGTGAAAATGAGATTAAGCCAATGGATAGGAAAATAAATGACCAAAGAAGAACCAAACCCCCAAATGGAAGGAATGACAAAGTCCCTGCTGCCTCTGGTACAGAGAGAATAATCACTGATGAATTTGGTCTAAAAAAGCATTGAATTGCCAATGCTGAGATGAATCCAAAACTTAAAAATTAAATATTTTCCCGGAAATTCCCATTTGTGTTTGGACAACCATCAATATTTTCGTGCTCTCAAAAGACACACACACAAAATGTGCAGTGTTCTCTTCTAGATGGTGATTCCGTATAGATTTGCAAAGGTCACCGGACCTGCAGTCATTTCAGGGTCTTTCTCAAAACCAAACTTTGCATTCCTGTTCACAAGATCAAGTAACAAGTAAGGACTCTTACAACAGCTTCAAGTTATGAATGAGCAGTTATTTGTGAACTAGCTTTGTCAAGACAGATGTGGTATTTGTCAGTGTGGTGTGGGTTAGATAGGGAAAGCCAAATGAACAGAGCCAAGGTCTAAGTCACATTTTTCTTTTTCTTTCAGGAGACTGGAAAGATGCTACAGGATTTCCTGAAACAAACAACATTTCCAAAAAAAGCAGTCGGAGTCTCAAATGGCGAGAACCCAGTGTGTCCGCTTCAGGAATAGCCTGCTTCCCGATCACCAACACGTAGGCAGCCAGGAGGGCCTGAAGGTAGAGTGGCACCCTCCCCGTGAAACGCGGGGAACGTGCCAGCAGATGGGCAAACAGCTGCCTGAGGAGCTCAGAAACACATTCGGGCTATTTTCAGAAGGTTCGAGCTTCACAACCTGCAGAAAGCATTTTCCATTTGCCTTGAGTTCCTCAAATCCTTGTGGTTAAAGGACTATCTAAGCCCCACATTTCCA